TATAAATGACATATTTTTAAATAACCATAACCGTGCAGAGTTTGATAAGAACTAAACACCATCATGTATGCGGATGTGCCCGGGACACTGAAAAGTGCCTCAATTACCAGGAACCATAAAAATAATCATGGCTAACATTTACTGAGTCCTTCCTCTACGCCAGGCACTTTAGTAAGTAGTTTACACAGGTTGCATCATTTAACCCGCACAACAATGCTGGGAAGCGTATTATCACCATTTTATAGATCAATAAGCTAATTTTCAGAGAGATTAAAAACTTGCCCAATAGTACACAGCTCCCAAGTGTCAAAGCCCAATTACAAACCTGTCCTTCTGACTCTAGAGGCTGCATTGAACCACTGAAATAGTCTGCCTCTGTTGTGTAGTAATTTCTCCGTGCCCTATGGTGCCCGAAATGTAGTTGCTCAGTGTTTGTCAAATATATACATTTATTCAGGGCTGAGCATAGTGCCTGCCCCAGGAGCCTAAGAAACTTGCCCAAGTCACACAGCTAGTATATTTTGGGACCAGGACTCGGACACAAGTAGTCTGGCTCCATGGCCTATGCTTTTAACCACAGTCCTGGGCTGAATGAATAACTGCAATCCCTCTTTATCCTCCTTTTCAAATCAGATGATGCTTTGTAGCTAGACACCAAGCATGTCACTAAACTTTCAAAATCTGTTTCAAGAGCCAGCAGGACATTCTGGTGGAGGCACAGTGCAGCAGGAAGGTGTGACAACACAGGAGAGGGAGCAAGAGGTCAAGGCTAGAGCACATCACAGGGGCCAGACCACTAGGCTGCTGCTGGGATTTTTATTAGGATTGTGACAAGTTAATAGGTAAATATGGGAAAAATTAACAATTGTCTCTATTTAGAGTTTCTTTTATGTTCCTAAATAGCACTTTATAGTTTTTATCCTATAGGTCCTAATAGAAATCTTGTTACATTTTAAATTCCTGGGCATTTTATGGGAGTTTCTTTTGTTGCTATAACGAGTGGGATTTTTTTCTTCTATCATATTTTCTGACTAGTATCTAGGAAAGTGTATCTAGGAAAATTAATCATTTTATGTATTAATTTTATAAGTGAATATCTTATTAAATTTTATGTTATAAATTTATACATTAATTTTATTTATTATTTTATATAAATTTTAATTACATAATATTCCAAACTAGGGATATGCCATAATTTATTCAACCATTCTTTGACCAGTGGGTCTTCCCCTTTTTCTAATTTTTTGGTATTATAAACACTGCTGCAGTGAATATTCTTGTACATATATTCTAGCACACTCATGCTTTTATTTCTGTAAGGTAGAGCCAAAGGTACAGGGTATATTTTACCTAGAATGAATTATTGTGACTATTTCCTCATATACTTACCAGAATTGGATTTATCATTTTTTTTTTCATTTTTGTTCATCTATTGGGTGGTAGTTCTGAACCCTGAATTTTTAAAAATTTGCACTTCCCTGACTGCTAGTAAAACTTAACTTTTCATTTCATTTCCTCTTTTGTGACCTGCCTATTCAAATACTCTACCGTTCCTTTTTTCTAATATTGTTAATTAATTCTCTTGGATTTTCCAGATGTAAGTTACATCATGTATAAATAGTAATTTTGCCTCAACATTTCCAATATTTACATCCCTTACTTTATTCTCCCATCTAAATGCAATGGCTAACATTTCCAGAACAATGTAAAATAACAGAAGTAACAGGAAGCATCTTTGCCTTGCTCCTAATTTTAATAGAAGTGATCTTATATTTTACCATTAAATATGATGCTAGAATTTTATGAGATATATATTTCTCTATTATGGTGAACAATATTCATCTATTACCATTTTCCTTAGGGTTTTAGTAGGAATGAATGTAAGATTTTGTCAGGGGCCGGCCCCATGGCTTAGCGGTTAAGTGCGCGCACTCCGCTACTGGCGGCCCGGGTTCGGATCCAGGCGCGCACGGACGCAGCATTTGTCCAGCCATGCTGAGGTGGCATCCCACATACAGCAACTAGAAGGATGTGCAACTATGACATACAACTGTCTGCTGGGGCTTTGGGGATGGGGGAAGGAGGA